AAGCGTTCTGCTGCGCGACAATATGAAGGGCATGATTGAAGAACAAGTTTGGCGGCTTAGGATTCCTGAGAGACGGATGCCAACAATCTATGAATCTGTGTGTTGTTGTCTTGATGTCAGCAATGTGCAATGATGATGCGCCCTATGCTAGCGGATAGGGCGTTGGACCATTCTGACGTTTTTTGTTTGCAGAGGTGCCCTGTCCGCTTATGCGGATGAACAGGATTGACCGCACAGCATCGGGATCGATTGGCAGCGTATGCGTGGGTACTGAGTGCTCGGCAGGAGAAGAAGCGCTTGGCAGCGAGCATTCGTCTTTTGCAGAGATTAAGTCAGTCCGATTGTCCCGTGCTTTGAGTGCCTTGGCGCGACAATTTGCGTGAAGTGCATCAGCCGATTGTGGCTGAAAGGAATTACTCCGTGTTAAGCTAAGCTGGTTGTGTTGAGGCAATGTCTGTTTTTACTTGAGGGTTGTGGCGTGAAAGTACGACCCATCGCTTTCGGTGGAGCTGCACCACAGCTTCCGCAGCTTTGCATGCAGATTCGAAAAGACCAGCCACTTTTTTAGAAGTCGGCGCAACTAAGCCAAGTTGGTCACGCAGGTGATGCCAGCCTGCTGGAGATGGGAGCCGACGCTTCCAGTGAAGAGAGTGAAGCAGTGCCTTGGAAATGGCAAACTCGCTATTCTGGTGGTTTCCCTCGGAGCTCTGGACACTTTTGGACCGCGCCAGGTGTTAGATGAGGTTTGCTCGACTCGATCTGTCAGGTGCGCCAAAGGTTTGTCATCATCGCGTCGATCATTGTTGGCCTGGTGTGTCCCTGGGCTGATACAAATGCTCTTTGGTCTCAGAGTTGCACCGCCGTGCAAGGAGCTTCCTGCTGTTGGTTCTTGGCTGTTTCGTGTTTGAAGCGAGCGCTGACCACGAGAGAGAGAGAGAGAGCGAGAGAGAGAGAGAGAGAGAGAGAGAGTGAGAGAGAGAGAGTGAGAGAGAGAGAGAGACAGAGAGGTTTGACCTGTATTTGTCCAGTGGTGTATGCCTTTTGTTGCTTCTTGGATTTTGTGTCAAAATTAGGGGTGTGCCATAATATGTATATATGATATGCATGCATGCATGCATGCGTGCATACATACGTGACAAAAGCAATGACATCAGCATCTGCAGTTCTGAAAGAGTTTGTGTTAAAACCCTCTAGGCCCCGTGCCGAAATTGGGTAGCTGTTCTGAGGTCCTTGTTGGTGTTGCTTCCCAAGTTCCATTGATCGCCATTTGGCTCAAGACACAATTGAGGTTCAAGATCTGATGTGTGACTGCATACATACGTGATCGGCATTGAGAGCGAAAACACTTCGCTTGCGCTGCATTTGTCAGGACTACTGTTGTAACTATCATTCCTTCTCCCTTACAACGTTTACACGGGTTCGGCTATAACGGCATCGTCCGTATACACCTTTCTACGTGGTTGGTATTACAGCTTGAGGGTTCGGTGCATAGCGTCCCACGGGACGTCACCTTGCCGTCTCTTGACAGGTTATCAGCCGTAACTACAAGCTCTACACTGGACTGGGAGACAGCTGGTTTATTGCGGGTACAGGGACAATAAAGAACGATAACCTACACAGTACAATGGCGTCTTCGGCGAGCCCAAGTACTGCAACTTTTGGGAACAGCAGCTCAGAGGGATCCAATGGATTGATGGCTCTTCCTGCGGTGATGGATATGATTGCAGATTCACAGGATGAACCTGGGAGCGGAGGTTCCGCGCTATTCAGCGACATATCTACTCCCACAAGATCATGGAAGCAGATCGATGTTCATCAGGAGTCGAAGAAAAGAGAATCCCCACCGAGAAGATCATCATCTTCGCCTGCGACACCACGGACGTCGCAGAAGGGCGTGAGATCGACATCGAAGGGTGGGAGATCCAAATCACCCACGAGTGCAGAGTTTCGCGCAGCAATCAAAGAGAAGAACAAGCTGGAGGTGGAGATCGGGGAATATCAAAAGACACTTGATGAAATGTCGGCAGCAATGGCGAATCTTAACCAAGAAGACTATGGAAGCACCGTCCGGATCCAGGAGCTGGAAAGACGATGCGAGATTGCCAGCAAGCAGTCGGGACATCTAGTGAGTCACCACCAACACCACATGGCTGAGGCATGGCGCAAGTTTGAGGAAGAAGCCCAACAGATGCGCAAGGAGGAAATGAACGCATTTCAGTACGGGGAGAAGAAAGACATGGAGTCGAATATTATAATGCAACAGATGAGACAAGCTGAAGGAACTATCATGGAGCAGAAGCGGGAAATTGCATTGATGAAATCCTACATGGCAAGCGAGAAGTCGGCCGCGCAGGAATCAGCTATACGTGCAAATCAGATACACCGTGAGGCTTCACAACAGATATCAGCTTATCAGCAACAGATCAGAGGCAAAGAATCTTCTACATCTATCGAGAAGTTCAACGAGGAGGAGATGGTCCAAAGTCTGAAATCACAGTTGGAGCATGCACTCGTCAAGCGCCCCGAGACGTACTCTTTGGAGGACTCCGGGGAACAGCTGATGGCGAGGCTGAATGACGTTACAGTATTTGCGGAACAGGAATCGAAGAGAGCAGATTGCTTGCTTCGCGAAAAAGAAGAGATCGTCAAACAGTATGAGTCCGACGTGTCGATGAAGGACCAGATGATTGCTGTCGAAGGTGGTCATCGTCAGGATGCGATCTTGGAGTTAGCCCAGGTCAAAGAAGAGAAACAAGAGGAACGGTGCACGAGGGACGAGAAGTCGAAGGAGGCTGAGTACTGGAGATTGACAGCTAAGGGAATGTACGATGAGTACCTCGAGGAGATGCATGAGCTTCAGGGACAACTGAAAGATAGAGAGGCGACGCTCAAGCAAGAAGAGAGTTTTGTACGCCAACTCGATGCTGACAACGAGGAACTACGTGCACACAAGAAGCTGGAGATGCAGGAAGCCTCCAGCAGCAAAGATGGACATCGTGAACGAGCTGTAGTGAAACGCGCTGAGGGAGGAACCCAGGCTAATTCAAATAGGATAGACAAGAAGGTGGCTGGGTCAGTCCCGTCATCGTCTTCAAATCAAATCCCCAATTCGTCGCTGATGCCAGGTTCGATCCTCTTTCCGTCTTTCGGTGATCCAATGATCGATGTACACCTATCCCAGATGCAAGGGGTTGTTGGGCATGTCCAACAATCCACTACTACGACTGGTGGTGGTGATGGGGGGGGAAACAACGGTACTACGCCCCCATTGGATTACGGTGGATTCCCGCCCAATGGGAATGGGCAGGGAGCGGGTCGACTTCAGTTGAGCCTCGCTGGTGGCGGAGGAGGACCTCCGGATGATCCACCCGATGATGAGGATGAGGATGACGACGACGAAGGAGATGAGGAAGACGAGGACGAAGAAGAGGAAGAAGACGATCGGACACGGAGGAGACGAAGGAGATCGAGAGATAACCGCGAGATCAAGAATGATCGACCGAGAATCTCGAGGAAAGAGGCCGAGAGAGTATCTATTCCGGCCTGGCCAAAGATCCATCAACTTGACACCTGGAAGATGCAACTGCTGATGAATGTTCTGAGCGCATGTGCGGATCCAGATACCGACGCATGGACGAAATGGCTGGAGCAGGCTCTTAGGTTGAACCCAGACCTGGATTTGCTTAGCGATTCAGGTGGCGACAGATTTGCTACGATAGATATTAAGATGGCCATGGGCATGCAGAACATGCTGAAACAAGCACCTGACGAAGCCAAGGACGTATACCTCGATGCTACACGACACTCTGAACTACGACATCAACAAGGGGTGATCGTGAAGGGACGAGAGTTTGTGGCATTAGTTATGCAATCATTCAGAACTTCCGATAGAACGGATCTTGTCTACCACATCGAGCATCTATTCAACCTTGACTTTCCTGGCGACAAGAACTTGGTCATGTTCAGGAACAAATGGTATGATTTGCTGCTGAAGATGAGGAGCGAGGACAGACCCAGTAAGCTGGCTCTCAGAGACCTCCTTTACAGGAAGATCAAAGGGAGCAAGAAGATGGAGTTCGGCCTCAATGCCTACCATAGACTACCGGACAAGCATCCTCAGAAGACGTATGAATTCTTATTGGCGTTGATCGACTATCAGATCAAGGCAGATCGGGAAGACCTAATGCTCGACATGAAGGAGAAATCGGTCAAGTCGATGATGAAGTCAGGCGGGAAGGATGCGGCTCCAGCAACTGGCAAACAGGAGAACCAGGGTGGCAAGGGCAGAAAGGGGAAACCCGGTGGACCTGATGCCGCTCCTGTGCTCCCAAAAGCCAAGGCAAAGGGCCACGCTGGCAAGAACGGCAAGTCCGACTGTGCCAGCGACAGAGGCAAGAGTCCGGGCGGAAGCAAGGATAACCCCTGCTGGTACCACTTCAAATCGGCGAAGGGGTGCGTGAAAGGGAATGAATGCACTTTTTCCCACAGCAAGAAGACGGAGCATAAGTTGGAGAGTATGTCCAAGGGGAAAGGAAAGGGCAAATCCAAGTCCAGATCATCGTCACCAACGAGAGATGATGGAGCATGCTTCGCGTTTCAGAAGGGGAAGTGCGATAAGGGAAGCGCTTGCAAGTATAGGCATGAGCTCATCAAGAACAATTCAGCTCCAGCAACGTCAAAGGACAAGGCGCAAGCCAAGTCGAAGGCTGCCGCCAAAGCCGCAGCGCCTGCCATTGCGAGGAGGGCCATCGCAATGCCCGCGATAGTCCTGAAGCAATCGGCTCCTGCAGGGAAGGTAAGCTTCAAGAAGGACGTTGAACAGGTCGAACCGGACGAAGCCGAGACTGTCTACCACGAGCACGATGACGACGCGATGAGCGAATCATCGAGATGGTCTGGCGAGTCCGAGATCCCCGAGAAAATGGTGTGGTTCAAGGAAGTGCTCGACGTCGACGAGAATGGGGAGATCACCTACCTCGAAGACGAGAGAAGGCAATGGGAACGAAAAGGGGAATGGTACGGTTATGAGGACAATGAGAGTGAGCCTTATCAGTACGTGTACGTCGACGAGAAGAAGTTCAAAAGCAGTGATCATCGTGAATTGTCAGCCTATCAAGTCCAACGATCATTGATACGTGCGAAGAGACTGAGAGAAGTAGTGGATGATGTATATAAGAAGCACTACTTCCCGGTGACCAAGGAGAGCAGCATAATGTTCGAGTATGATCGGAACAAGGACGAGATCAAGGAATCGGCTGTCGACTGGAAGAAGCAGCATGGTATGCCGAAGAACGTTTTCGCCATGTCAACGTGCATCAGCAAACGGGTGAAATTGTTGATGGACACCGGATGTGGTCATGATCTCATTGGAAGAGCCAAGGCGAAGAGCCTGGGTGTCGACATCGTGAAAGATGACGACGAGATCGTGTTCCAGACCGCGAATGGTTCCACTTCCACATCTGATGTGGCCAAGATAGTCGTGGACGAGTTGGACGAGGCCGCATGTATTGGATGAGACACCCACGGTATTGTCAGTGGGGAGGAGATGCATGAAGATGGGTTATGCATTTCACTGGATGCCTGGTAAGCTACCTTTCATGGTTACGCCAAAGCAGGGATTCGTGCACTTGCAGGTCAAGGACGACATCCCGTACCTAGTGAGTGATGGTAAACTTCGGAGTAACAGGCATCGCCCTACGATAGACGACCTCAAGGAGCACTTTTCGGAAGTATTGGCGATGGTAACGAACGACTAGGCAGATCAGGGAGGTGACGATGAGAACGACGTCACACCCGCCGCTGTCGGTGAGTCCGCA